ATAAGAGTCTTATGAAATTTTTCTACTCAGGCTAGCTCTGAAACTGTAGTCCTCCTATCTCAGATTCCTGAGTAGGTAGAACTACTAGTTATGAGCCACTACCACCTGATCATGGCAGAATATTGCTTGTATTTCTACTCACCCCTCTGCCTGGACCTAAAGATTAGAGTCAAGGAGTAAAAGGACTTTAGCTTGTGTTTCAGATCTGACCTTCACTCTATAAAGAACTCCCAAGTATTGGCTAGCCTTGCCTGATACTCCTGATTGAACAAAGTCATAAACTCACCACCCACCTCTGTCTCTAAACTAAATGCATCCACTGGACACACATCATGTATTCTTTAATGTGGATCAAAAAATGGAAGTATACCTTCTTCTTAGCCAAGAGGTTTTCTTTTGTGCCAAGACATGGAGTAACTATTTTCAATGCTGTAAAGTTAGAGGCACTTGATTTTATTTGGAAAGCAAAGATTATCTTGTCAATACTCACTGTCTCTACTGCTTGGGTATGTAGTGAAGCAAAAGGAGCAGCTTCTATATACCAAATGCCACAGGGATCCAGACTTAAACTTTTGCTCCAATTTGAATTGCTGCCTGCCACTGACTGGCTGTGTAATCCCTGAGCCTCTGATTTCTCTCCTGAAAATGAGGCTCATAACACTGTGTTTTTGAGGAGATGCTGTAAGGAAGGGAGAGTTCCTGTGTCAAAAGCTCTCCACACCCTGTGAGCATGCCCCATACATCACAGCTCTCCTGACTGTACTGTGCAAACTGCACTCAGCGAGGTGTCTATACATGGCCACATGTAGTTCCTGTGGTAAGTCCAGGATAAGCCACTACTGTTATCACCCTCCCCCACCCAGTTTTTCCAGAAGGAGAAAACTGAGGCTATGAGAGGTTTCGTCACTTCTCCAAGAATCAAAGAAAATAGAAGCAAGAATCATCAAATCTGTTTAATGGACATGCCTAGGTACTTCCTGCCATACCACACTACTTTCTGCCATACTATACCACTTCATGGTATGTCATACCACTTCCTGCCACACTACACCACTTCCTGCCACACTACACACTACTTCCTGGATAATCATACAAATACCCCTTTCCCTTCCCCCACAACACAATGTCACATCAGAACCAGAAATCTATGCTTCTGAATGGTACACAAAATGGTAAACAGGAAACTTCATTACCTGAGGATTCTAAATATCTCTTAACTGAGCTGTTTCCCTGATTGACCTCTTTGAGTATCAGGACCCTATTTTTTCCATCTCCTCTAAAGAACACAGCACAGAGTTCTGAACACACAATAGGCACTCAATAATCACAACCTTGGTTTACATATAAATGCACAACATTTCCATGAACCATGCCCTGCTTCAGAATCCATGATCAAATGACCTAAATACACCATGATTTTCCCAAAGCTCTGAGACTCTTGCTTCCCACAAAGCATTTATTCTGAAGAGAACAGGGTTAAGACCCTAAAGCTAAATATTTCTAATCTCATTAAGAATATCATGGGAGTCAAAATCAAGACTTTCATTAGAGCTTCCAGGTGAGATTAGGACATTTCTTTTTTTTTTGTCCATCATGGGGCCTGAACTCTGGGCCTGGGCGCTGTCCCTCAGCTCTTCAGCTGTAGACTAGCACTCTATCACTTGAGCCTCAGCCCCACTTCCGGCTTTTTCTGCTTATGTGGTGCTGAGGAATCGAACCAAGGGCCTCATGCATGCAAGGCAAGCACTCTACTACTGAGCCACCTTCCTAGCCCCCAGGTGGGTTTAGGAAAGGGCCTCCCAAATTGCTGCTACACACCTTCAAAACCAGAGGCTTTGAAATGGAGATAATCTTAGGTTTGTGTTTGCTTTCCTCTCTCCAAATGTTACAAAGGGTACTGCATTATTGCTGCCATCTTGGTGAAGAGTGTGGGTGTTCATGAACATTCTACACCAGTATCTCATCTGAGGATAAGAGAAGGGGGGACAGCAACTTCTGCACACAGGTACCTATATGCAGAAGTGGCTCCCATGGTTTGGTGCTATGGTTTGGATGAACCCCAAGGGTTCATGCTTTGGAAACTTAGTCCTCAGTGTGATGATGCGAAGAGGGAATGGGATCATTAGGAGGTGGGCTTCACGGGAGGTGGCAGGACTAGCTCCTCCCCCCCTCTGGCTTCCTGGCTTGTGATATGACCTCTCTCTCACAAGTGCTTTCTACTGTGATGCCATGCACCATGAGGTGCTCCCTAGAGACTCACCAATGGTAGTGCCTTTGAACCTCCAAAACCATGAGCTAAGGAAACCTCTTTTGTTCTAGAAAAACCTCAGGTATTTTGTTATAACAATCTAAAACTGACCAACCACAGGGGATGTGCCCACAGCCCCTGGGAATGAATGAAAAAGAAATGCCACACAATCTGACTTCTAGAAACTTTCCGTGAAGACTTCTGTGACAAAAGTAAAACTTCTGTAGACTCCGAAGTCACATTGGAATGTAAGTCTCAGTCTTGATCTGCAGAGTGATGGCATTTGTTCCTGTATGCTGAGAGTCTCTTGTGATCTGAGGGATTAGAGTCTCAGGCTAAGGAAGTCCGTAATTAACTTCCCACCTGCCACTTACTAGAGCTTTCTCACTTCTGTCAAATTAGATTAGTCCACCTTGCTGAATCTTACTTTTCTCATCTCTATAGTAGGCATAACAACAATACATGCCACAAAGAAATTCTGAGGGGAAGGTTTGAGATAATGCTCACCAAAGTACTTAGCACAGTAGTTAGTAGGTGTGCACAGAACATATAGGAGACAGTCAATAATGTCTGGTCACTACTGCTATTCTTTTCTTTATTGCTAATAGGAATAGGAATGCCTGTGAAATACATTATTGTAAGGTGTCATACATTTTCACATACATGTGGTAGTTAATATCTCAGAGAAGCTGCTCAGTATATTTTTGGCTGATTTGTAAAATAATAGCCCTAGGAAGGCAGGGCAGACATTATTACTTCTTGTTGTAGGTGAGAAAACAGGGGTTGAATCATGAAGGGGTTTGGGGGATCTCATTAGCTCAGGTTTCTGTGTCCAGCATTCTATCCACAGCTACTCTGCAGGAAGCCAAAGGCTTCCTTCTAGTACGACCTGTCTATGTTCAGGGCAGGAAGGATCTGCTCTAGACTGGCCTGGTCTTCTTCAGTTACTTCTTACTGGGACCCAGATGGATTTTGCAGCCCTTGCAGTTTCTGATGTACAGTCTGTAAAGCACTGTTGGGAGGATCCAGTGCCACAGGACTGGCCCATTGCATCTAAATACTCTCGGGAATTAATTGCTTTGTTATTTGCTTGAATTTTCATTGTAGGGATTTTTCAAATACATGGACAAGTAGAGATAAGAATCAAAGAAGATAAAGCAGAGATGCATTCCCTGGGCTGATGTCCTAGTTTCCTAGTCCTTACCTACACAAATCTCATCCCATCCATGCTGCTGGCCATTGCCTCCGATCCCTGATTTTGAAAGGAAATATTGAGGAAGTTCCAAACAATCCAGACTTTCCCAATCATTGCAGTTACAGATTTAGCAGGTCTGTGAGTGTTGTGGATTTGTGTTTCTCAAGGCTGCCTCCCCAGGTAACAAGGAAAGACAACCACCCTTCAGCCACCAAGCTGGGTAAGCTCTGTGGGCTCCCCTGTTTAGAAGTGACAGACATGCCGGCCATGGGTACTGCGCAGGACAGTAGAGGCAGCATTACCTCCAGCCACAAGGGCTCATGAGGGACTGTCCTAGAGCACAGAGTGCCCCACCACAGGCATACCGATGGCAGATGCAGCACCGAATGAGACTGGAGGGAGGAGGCAGTCTGCTAGGCCTATGACTCAGGTTTTCCTGGGACAGGAAATTCTGACTTCTATTGCTAGTCCTGCCACCTCAACCCCAATGATCTTCAGTGGCCTCCTGACTACTCTATCCCCTGTATACTCCTTATGGGCAGCCAGCCCCTTGTTTATCCTCCTCTCCTCGTACTAGTGTAGTAATTACTGACTTGGGTGAATGGTGTGAAGTTGATGACATTTGGCCTGTGTGTGTGTGTGTGTGTGTGTGTGTGTGTGTGTGTGTGTGTGTGTGTGTGTGTGTGTGTGTGTGTGTGCTGGTGCTAGGGCTTGAACTTGGGACCTTTTGCTTGGCTTTTCCGCTCAAGACTTGTTCTCTACTACTTGAGCCACACCTCCACTTTCAGCTTTTTGCTGGTTAATTGGACTTTTCTTCCCTAAGCTGACTTCAAACTATGATCCTCAGCTCTCAATCTCCTGAGTGGCTAGGATTATATATATATATACCACCAGCATCTGGCTCACTTGGCCATTCTTGACCTCTAGAATGTCAACTTCATGACTATACTTTATATGTATCAGGTATTCAATAAATGTTCCTTGAAGGAATCAACACAGTCATAAGAACTCCAGCATTACATCTACCGGGCTAGTACTTCCTACTCACCCAACCCTGTTGGCAAGGTAGCTATGATAGCCCCAACGTACAGATAGTGAAATCGAGCTGTGCTGTCTGGTTACTGCATACTTCGTAACAATGAGTAATGATGGTATCATCAGTATATTGTTATTACCCAAAGCCAGAGGCTCTCCACAGATGCAGGGCTTGAACCAGGCCGACTTGGCTTCTATTAAGCTTGCTTTGCCAATATGTCCCAGGAAAGCCACAATCAGTCCAATGGAGGAAGACAGAAATGGACTGGCAAATACCTAAGCATATTAACAGTTCAGTTCACTCAGTAAGCTGCAGACAGTGAGTAAACTAGTAACTTTACCAGTGAGAAGCAAAATTGAGGGAGCAGCTCTGAAATTCCTTTGGGCAAGTGTGTTTGTAGATATGTTCCAGAGCTGCCTGGCTTGTTAGTGCTTTTGCTAAGCAGAACATGGGCAGGCAAGATTCAGACAGACAGACAGACAGCCATGGTGCTCACTCTGAGATAAGCTAGTCCTGCTTACCTCTTTGCTCTGTCCTTCTCATCTTCATCCATTAGATTTTCTATGCAGTTTTTCCTGAAAAACAAAACCCAAACCCCAGATGATTATGGTATATTTCTAGATCTTCCTTACAGGTCTTTCTGGGGCCCATGATTTTAATTTGATCACATCTATATGTGTCATGTTTGCCCTCATAGACACTGGGGGTCATTAGACCACACTTTGGGAACTGCCCTGGAGGCCCAGCTCAAAGAAGCAGCATTTGTTCATTTTGAGCCTGAAATGAGCAAGCGCCTCCTTGTGGATGTTTGCACTTGGCCTCACTGGTTCCTTCTCAGAAGTCAAGAGGGCCTAAAAGGGCAGTATTTGGTTTCCAGACCTTGAAAATCCACAGCTGTCTCTCATGTGGCCCGGGGAAAGAGCCCCAGGGAGGAGAATCCAGACTGCTACCTTTAGACAATCACACTTTCCCTGACAGAAAAGTTCACAGATGTAACAACCCAGGAATGTTCTCCATGGAGCCTCTACTTTCCCAGGCCACTGGCCCCTCAAGCCCAACAATCCAGTTTCCACTTCTGCCCCAGGCAGGATTTCTCCACCTCTGAGCATATCCCTGACCCCTGATTCCTTCTTTTACTCAACTATTTCCTAGAGCCCTCCCTGAGTAAACCAAGATGGTGTGAGCACTATGCAGAAAGCTGAGCTAACCTTGTCCACAGGCTTTGCTCCAGCCCAGAAGCCTCTGAAGTCAAATCTCCAAAACCCATGCTTATATGAGCAATGACTCAAGAAATGTAAGGTTTTGGATAAAGATTCTTAATAGAACTTTCTCTGGGACTGTTTAGGTTAGTAATTTTGAGATACCTACATGCACAGGCACAAGTCTGAGCCAGAGCAAGATGGAATTCTGTAGCTATGTCTTCTCTCTCTTTACACATGGCTCATTCAGCCAGTGGCAGCTATATTTAGGGACAGATTTTCAAGAAACTCATTCAGCAGTTAAAGTTTGCATCATGTTTACAATGGGGTTAACAGGGAGGTGAAAGACCTCTAAAATAAAAATTATAAGCCCTTGAAGACAATATGAGAAGATGGGAAAATGTCCCATGATCTTAGATTGGTAGAATCAATATTGTGAAAATGTCAAAAGCAATCTACAAATTCAATGCAATACGTATCAAAATTTCAATGCTATTCCATACAGAGATAGAAAAGGAAAAAATTTTAAATTCATATGGAAACCTAAAAGGCCCTGAAAAGCCAAAGCAATCCTAAGCAACAAAACAAAACAAGACAATGACAGTAGTATCACACTACCAGACTTCAAATGATCATACAAAGGCATAATAACAGGAATGACAAATTGGTACTGGCACAAACCAAACCTGAAAAGACCTTGGAATAAACCATGCACCTACCACTAATGGATATTTGACAACAAAACGTCTAAAATATATATTGGAGAAAAGATAGCCTCTTCAACAAATGATGCTGGGAGGATGGGAAGTCCACATGCAAAATAGTGACATATTTCTTATCCTGTACTATTATCAATTCAAAGTGCACAATGACTTTAATGTAAGACCTGAACCTTGAAACTACTAGAGGAAGGAATAGGAGAAATACTAGAATGTATTGGCATAGGCAGAAACTTTCTGAATAGAATTTCAAGGACTGAGCAAATAAGGGCAAAGAATCAACAAATGGGATTGCATTAAGCAAAAATGCTTCTGCACAGCCAAGAACACCATCATGAAGCTAAAAGACAGCAACAGAATGAGAAAAGGTATTTGCCAGATATATGTATAACAAAGGGTCTAATGACCAGAATATACAAGGAGCTCAAAAAACTAAACCCCAAAGACTCAAAACTTAGTCAATAAATGGGCATAGAGCTTAACAGTTCTCAGAAGAAAAAGCTCAAATTGCCAACAAATACATGAAGAAATGCTCAACATTCCTAGTCATAAAGGAAATGCAAATCAAAACAATAGTGAGATTCCATTTTCATTCAGAATGGCCATCATCAATATGGATACTGGGTATACTATTGGTGGGAGTACAAACCAGTATAACCACAACGGAAGTCCATATGGTGATACCCCTAAAAACAAAACAGAGTTAACCTATAATCCAGTCATTCCACTCATGGGCATTTGTCTGAAAGACTGCAAGACAGTTACAATAAAGGAACCTGCACACCCATGTTTGCTGCAGTACTATTCACACTAACCAAGTTATGGAAACAGCCCACATTCATTACAAGGGACAAATGGATTGAGACAAAATCATGCACCCCTCCACCTCCCCCCCCACACAAATGGAATTTTATTCATTCATCAGCCAGAATGAAATTTATGCCAGTTGTAAGGGCATGCATGCATGTGGCAAAAATCATACTGAGTGAAGTAAGCCAGGCTGAGAAAGACAAAAAGACAAAAAGATCAAGCAAGTTAAAGTGTAATATATGTATCAATGAAACTCCATGGTGCACACCCTTTGAACAGACATTTTAACAAAATTAATATAAGGAATGTGCACATGTTGAATAGTGGGAATAGGAGGGCGTGGATGAATGGAAAAGGGAATGAGGGATGAATACAGTCACAAGACTCAATGTGCATCTTGAAAAAGGAAGTGCAAGCTTTGATGTACAGACTGATGGAGCAGGGGTATTTGCGGGGGGGGGGGGGCGGTTATGATGGAAGGGGTGACTGATCAAGACGCACTGCATACATAAATCGACAGCATTAAGTTGTAGTCCCTTGTAGAAACATGTGTAATAAAAAACACACGTATGCTCAAGCCTCATCTAAGACCATTGGAACCAGAATCTCTTGGACAGGGCCCATTTTTTGACGCATAGTCATCTGTTCCATCTTTTGTCTGCTCATTTTTGCCTTTCATCCCAAGAAAACAAAATAAACATTAATCAAGTGCAAACAATAAAATAGGGTTAACATATCTGCAAACAGGCATGTACTTAATGATTTCCAGATGGGATCTGCTCCAAGCTTATGATGTGAAAAATGGTGAAAATTCATGTAGTGATACCCTTCCCTAGCCTGTGCTCCCAAGAGGGAAGGGGCTCCCCAAGCACCCAAGGGGAAACTGAGGACCCCTCTGTACTGTGCCCTTTAACCAAAAACCCCTAGACAAAGCATGTTTATAGGGCCATGTTATCGGAGCTGCTGGAATCCTGTTGGAATGACTGGGGTTGGATGGTCATAAACAAAACATCTAAAAATGACAAATAGCTATCCCTATCAACTCCATCTCCTTGGTTTCATAAATGCCTATCCTTAAACATTTACTGAATGTGTAAAGCCTGATGGTCTGCACCCAGATCCTCTACTCCACCTCTTCCATGTCCTTGCCTGAATCCTCTTACTTGACCCATCTTGGTCACTCAGCTGCACTGTTCCAAGTGTGAAGAGAAAGTTCCTCAGAAGCACTGGTCCCCAAACTTCCATGCCAGCATCCTCAACTCTGTTGTCTTCCTTGTTTTCCCTGTGTATTATTATGGCAGTGGCAGTGAGCAGCCTTGAATGAAAAAGCTAAGAGTCAGTCGCCAGCCTCTGAGTTCAACTCCCAGTAAAAGTACACATCATGCACATATGTGCATGTGTGCACACACACATACACACAGCAGTGAAATAAATATACATGATATTTTTTTTTTAAAACTTTTTTGGGGGGTCCAGTCGTGGTGGCTGAACTCTGGGCCTGGGCGCTGTCCCTCAGCTCTTCAGCTCAAGGCTAGCACTCTACCACTTGAGCCACAGCACCCCTTCCAGCTTTTTTTTTCTGCTTATGTGGTGCTGAGGAATTGCAAGGCAAGCGCTCTACCACTGAGCCACCTTCCCAGCCCTTACATGATAAAATTTACCATCTTAGCCATTTGTAAAGTACAACTCAGTAGTGATAAGTACACTCATATTGTACAACCACCACCATCTTCCTACAGGACTGAAACTCTAGATTCACTCATTAACCAGTAACACTCTATTCCCCTAACACTCCAGCCCTGCACCCACCATTCTACCCTCTATCTCTATGAATGTGACTATTCTAGACACTTTAGGATAGTACAGTAACAGTATTTGTGCTCTTATGGCTGCTGATTTCACTTAGCATGATGTCCTCAAGATTCATCCATGTGGTAGCAAGGTCCAGCATTTCCTTTTTGAGTGGAATAATGCTCCAATGTGCAATAGACTGTTTGCTTCTAAATGTTGGTTACTGTGACCAATGCTGCCGCAAACACACCTGTACCTCCCTCCTTGTAAGGCCTTCTCTTCCTTCACAATGAAGAAGAGGAGCATTGACTCTGGGTAAGCACACATTGACAGGGCTTGAGAATCAGCCCATCAAGAAACCAATGGCTCAGAAGACTTTGCTGGGGTAGGGGTACACTTACCTTTCTAGGAGCTATTTACAAAAGTGTAGTCACCCAAGGCTAGTCACACTAAGTAAGGGCCAAAAGGACATGTTTTCCAAACCTAGAAGTCATGTGGTTTAGTGGGGAGGGGTGGCAGCCTTTGCTAGAGGGACACAGGCAAGAAGGGACCCAAGGAGTAAATACCCTCACCTCAGTCTCCCCCTGTCCAGTAAGAAAACAAACGCCCAGAGAGAGTTCCCATACACTCTTCACTTACCTTTTCTTCTTTTTAATATCTTACGTAAGTATGGTGCAATGACAGACTAACATTGATATATTACTAGGCAAAGCGCATATTTTCTTCAAGTTTTCTTAGTTTTTCTTTTTTTAAAAATCAAATGTTCTTTTTTGGTTTCAAGAACTACTTTGTAGGAGGGCCACATGAGATTTCTTTGTCATGTCTCTTTGGATGCACTAGTGTCTTAGACATTCCTTATTTTTCAGTGACTTTAGCAATTTTGAAAAGTATCTCAGGATATGCTCTTTAAATTTTTGTCTGATGATCAGATGGCATGGAGGCCTGGAAAGAAAGGCAACTGAGGCAAAATGCCTGCCTCCTCACAGGATGGGGTGAGAAAGACTTGCTCATGTGTGTGTATGCACCTCCATCACATGTACTGTCAACTTGCTTAAA